TCTCTCTCTTCTCCTCGCTAACCCGATTCCGTGTTACCAGTCCAGCCGAGCTGAGCCCCGAGAGATGGAGAGCTACAGAGCTGAGGGCTGGTTCTGGGTCAAAACAGGTCGAATTTGTTCATTTTTGAAGCAATGGCAATCCAGGGGGTTGGAACTGGATGATCTTTAAGGCCCCTTCCAACCCAAACCAGTCTGTGATTTGAAACCAAGTGATAAAAATCTGCTTTTTCCCCCCTCTTTGGCCATGTTGATGGACAGGTTCAGGCTCAGCAGAGGCCAGGCAGCTGCCTGCTCCTGCCCCCTCCTCACCATGAGGGATTTGCTTCTTGGGATTCAACTCCTTAAATATAAGGATTTTTATTTAAGAAACTGGTGTAACTTCATTAGGATTCTGACATTTTTTAAGCCACAGAATGGTTATATAGTGTTATACACGATACGCTATTCTGCGGCACGAAAAATTAAAAATAATAGAAAAAGTATTAGGCACTTTAATTCCCTTAAATGGACAAACAATGAAGAGATCATTTACAACTATTAACTTGTTATCACAGTTTAACTGGATAGCAGCGTCGCAGGTGATAACCATGACCAGCACTGGGTTAGCACAGTTGGGGACTGGTAATAATAGGTGACAACTTCACGGCTTTACGCAGTAAATGACAATAACTTGGACTGGTAACGGCTGGATTTCCTCCATCCATTCACCCCTTACTCTCTCCTGCTGCCAATTACTGAAATCTTTAAAAACAGCGTAACCTTTTTTGCATGTTTGTTAAAATTCTCCGCCAAATGTCTGACTCCGCCAGTTGAGCTACAGGATTCTTCCGCCTTGTTGTTCGCTCTCGAGTGATGTGAACTTGCACAACCTTTAGCTTTCCAAGGTGAAAGCAGAATTGTAAGTAAAAAATCCGAAGAATGTGTCAATTCTTTAGACCTAAAATAGGGCAGAAGTACCAAGGAGCTTAAAGCCTTTTGGTAGTTAATGGCTGTTGACCTCCTGAATTACAATGACAAGGTGGAATTCTCTGTGTCTTCTAACAAACCCAGTTTCTGTTTGTTGAATGCGTGGGGTTGGGAGTGATTCCTCCTTGTGTTTGTCTTGGCTTTGTGTAAACTTGTTCAGAATGAAGTGCGGATCAGTGTTGTCACTTAACTCTGATGTTGTCTCTTTTCCCTCCCTTTCTGCCTGCCTGCTGCTTTCATTCTGTAGTATTGGTATTTGCCATTCATTTCACCTTCTGCATCTATGCATCTCATGGTAGGTGATAGGCTTTTAATCTGAGATTAGACTCTCTAATGTTTCTGAATGCTTAAACCGAAAGCAGAAATAAATGATGATGCTTTATTTGTTCCTGAAAACACTTCCTTCAGGTTCTGTGAAAAGCCATTGTAGCTTTTTATTCTGCAGCCTTTAATGACCATGTTAATCACTGGTCTGGCTTAATGGCTCCAAAGAAAATGCATTTGACACAGTTGCTTGAGGCTGAGGATGGTGACAGTGGTGCCTGGGAGAGGAGACCTTTTCCCTTGGCGTTTTCTGCAAATCTGGCAACTGCAAAGAAAGCCCAAGTAACGCTGATCCTAGCCAGGCACAGAAAGCAGATGTGCACGACACAGATCTGCTGCGCTGACCTGAAATCCTCCTTGCTGTTCCTCTTGTGGCTCCGAGGAGCTGGTTTTGATGTATGATGCAAATTATGTGCCTAGATATCCTTCTAGGGACCAGATGAGTCTTGTTGCTTCTTGGTAGCAGAATGTAATAAATCTGTGAATGGAGGAGCGGTCTCTTTGTCCTGTTGAAAGGGCCAGAAACGGAGCCCAAGTGTTGCCCATCTGCAGCACATTTAGCAAGCAGAGTCAGTGGTTGAAATAGATGCAGGTCCCTGGCAGCTGCAGGTTGAGCCCTCCAGGAAGTGGTCGGTAGCACCAAATGACCCGGAGGTGTCATTCCAGTTATCTCTGAGCTGCTCCTTAAAGCAGAGATGCTAACTGGCCGCTGAGGAGGGTTGCTAAGAGCAGCTACAGAGTGCGAGCAGCCTCCTGGCCTGCTTCTTCAGGTCAGATTCAGGGTGCATTAATGGGAAGTGCTCTGTGTGCGGAGAGAGGGAGAGAAAGGAAGTGCTCAGTTGTTCCTAGTCAAAGAGGATTTCTCTTTCCAAGGAGGCCGAGGTTGCCATGCCAAAATACGAACTGGAATCTCTCCTTATTAAGTAGCGAATTCCTTTGAGACAGCAGGTTTCTGTTCCGGGCCAACGGAAGCGGCGCTGGATACGGCTGCAGCCGTGCTCAGTCAGTTTTGTGTTAAATCCCCTTTGCCCCTGTCTAGAACTCGGAGCTCTTCACGCTGACGTACGGCGCCCTGGTCACCCAGCTGTGCAAGGACTACGAGAACGACGAGGACGTCAACAAGCAGCTTGACAAAATGTAAGTGGATCTGCTGCAGTGGAGCCTTGCAGGAGCTCGGGTTCACAGTCTTGGTGTGCTGCTCTGTGAATAAAAGCCCGGCAGACTGAATTTTATTTAATACCGGTATTTCTCAGATGTATTTTTTTTTCTCCGCTCTCTTCTTTTATAAACGTTGGCTGTCTTTCTAAAGCCACACTCTTCCCACTGTGTAGCTGTTGCTCTCTGGTGCATTCACAGGGGTTACAACATAGGCGTTCGGCTAATAGAAGACTTTCTGGCCCGGTCCAACGTGGGAAGATGCCACGATTTTCGTGAAACTGCGGATGTTATTGCAAAGGTAATTGTCAAAGCACAGCTTTGTTGGGTTTTGCCATGGTTTAAACTGTGAGGATAGAGTACTTGCTACTCACAGGACTGTGCTGAGAGCTTGACTGAGATTTTGGGGAGGAGAAAGAGAATTAGATCCCTGAGTACTGCTGACTGGTGGGAATTGGGAGAAAGGTGTTTTCAAAATCCTTTAATAATTTTACAAAGATCAAAGCTATGCTCTTGCTTCATGGGACGCTCTTGTTTGACATAACAGATCGCATTTAAAATGTACCTGGGCATCACTCCGAGCATCACCAACTGGAGTCCTGGAGGCGATGAGTTCTCCCTGATCTTGGAAAATAACCCCCTGGTGGACTTTGTTGAGCTCCCTGACAACCACTCGTCTCTCATCTATTCCAACTTGTTGTGTGGAGTGCTGCGAGGTGCCCTGGAAATGGTGAGCCAACGCCTCTCTTCCAGTGAGACAGATACGCGAATAACTGAGGTAGCAGCAGGTACTTTGGTGTGTAATCTGTGTTCCTGACTTCTGTGTTTGCTTTGGGCTTGAAATTCAGTCCCAGGAGAAGAGCAGAGCTGCCGGAGCGCTCGGCTGCCCTTGCGCTTGGCAGCTGTGAGTCCCAGAGGTGCTGACCAAGCTCCTTCATCTTATGACCCAAGTACAAGCCCTGGTATCTCCTTGAATGTTGATGAATCCTCACTCTGTAACTACTGTGAGCCCCAGCTGGGAATTTACCGGAACAGGAGAACTGCTGGGTCTCAGGTTTAGGAGTCTGTACTTAGGTTTGATTCCCTGGCGCAGCTGAAGTTTTTGAGGCAGGTTTGCGGAGCAGCGGGACGCGTAGCGCTGGGTGATGGGGTTAACTGGGCTCTGATCTCCAGGGAGGCCTGGCTGTGCTGCGGGAGGGACTTTGGATGAGCGAGGTGCCCGCTGTCCACCACGTGTGTGCAGGCAGGATGTGATCTTGAAAAACGACGAGCTCTTCGTAGAGCTCTGCACTGCACGTCGCGCCCTCAGAGTCCTTCAGCTGGTGCTTCGCGAGTTCCTAGAGAAGCTGCTGTTACAGGGGGGTAACAGCTCTTCTTTCCTCATCCCTCACCCAGGTTCAGATGGCCGTAGATGTAAAATTTGTCCAGGACACGCTGAAGGGCGACAGCGTCACAGAAATCAGGATGAAGTTCATCAGGCGGATTGAAGACAACCTTCCGGCCGGTGAAGAGTGAGCCGCAGCCCAGTCTCCCCTGGGGCTGGAGGGGACCAGCTGGCTTTGGCCATGAGCTTTGGTCACGGATCTGTAGGGATGAGGTGCCCTGTCCATTCCGACTGACTCGCTGACTGTTTAAGATGTTGTTATCTTCTACTCCCATCTCCCGTAGAAGACGATTGTCCGGTTGCTGTTTATTTCACTGGTTCATTCTGAAGCTTTTTCATAAAGTGATGTCTTTTTTCGTATTCCCCTGGGGACTCTTTCTATGCTCAGTTTCTAATTGTGACATTTGGTTGTGCGAGAACTACAGCTCAAACCCTAGAAGAGTCTGTTCAAATTCCTAATCCGTGTCTTATGGCCAGAACTGGGAGACCAAGCTATGAGAGCCCCCTGATTTACTATTAAACACTGTCCTTAAAAAGAGGTGTTTAAAATTCATTCGGTGATAAACATGTAGTATTTCTGTAGACCAAACCGTCTTCCTGCATTTGATTCTGAGGTTAACTAGTCAAAGCCAGCCTGGTGCCAAGGCGGGATGTGGGGGAGCCGTTTGAGGGCGGGGAGGCTCCTTTTGTCGGAGGGCGGCAGCGGCGCACGGCACCGCCAGGTCCAGGGGGTCCGTGTGCCCGGGGCCTTTCTGTGGCCCCTCTTCCCCCAGCAGTCTTGTGACTCCCCACTTGGAAGGGGAGGACCATTGAATTGCAGTGGAGCAGCAGCAAATAACTTCAAATGGAGAAAAGGGAAAACGCTGCCGGTGTTCCCCAGGGGCCGCGGGGCGAGTGCGGAACGAAAACCCAGACTGCAGGCTGGGAGGTGTTCGGAGGGGTCTGTTCCTGTGACGCTGCGGGGAGGTGGTGCTGGGGTAGATTCTCACAGCTGCGGAGGCTGCAGCAGCGTTTCCCTTGTTAGGTAAATTGGCAGGTTTCGGCAGGCTGCAGCACCTGCTGTTCTGCAAAATAAATACACCGAGTCGTGTTACGTCTCAAAAAGCAAGATACTGGAAAATGAACTTCCTCTGCCGTCCCCTTCAGCCAGAAGACGCGGTCAGACGTTCAGTTCCCAAATCGCTTTCCATAGCGTGAAGGCACGAATCCACAGAGATAATCAGGAGCTTGAAGTCGCTAGCTCTGGCCTCCCCAGAGCTGGCGGCTCGAGGACCTTTGCAGGTTTATGCCCGAGCGTGAGGTGAGCGAGAGGCAGCTGCCGCTTGTGCTGCTGTTGTTCAGGTTCTCCCGAGGAACGTTGGGTCATCTGGATGGCTCACCCCGTCCCTTTTTTCCTTTTTTTTTTTTTTTTTTTTCCCCAAATGAGTCCCTTTGGTGCGAGGGTTTGGCTGCCTGGTGTGACGTGTGTCCTGCGAGGGGGCAGCCGGTCGCTGTAAAAGCAGCTGGAGAGGGACAGGGCGGCCCGGCGGTGGGTTGTGGGGGCAGAGGCGCCGCGTGGTGTTGCAGAGCTGAGACACATCTGTCCCTTCTCATCCCTGACCATTATAAGTCATTTTAATTGCATTTTAAAAGCAATTGCATTAAAAGAATCCCAGTGTCAACTCTCTGGTTTCCTCTTGATTTTTCTTCCCGGTGAGGCGGGCGCTGGCGTGCGGCAGCGCCCGAGCGGGGCTGGCAGGGCGATGGCAGCGCTGCACCAAGAATGTCTGGCTGCCGCCCGCCGGAGGAGGGAAACCTGCCCCAAATGCAGCCCCCGGAGGGGCTGTGCCTGGGGTGGGACTCGGGGGGTGGTGGGCAACGCTGGGAAACCGGACGCTCAGCGTTTGCTCCTTCGAGGGCTGCGCAGCGATTCCCGGGCCTGGGCCTTGGCAGGGGCTCGGTACCGCGGGGGAGAGAGAGCTGAGACGTGCTAGTTGTGGTCATCAATAGTGGCAAAAAAATCACCCCGGGTGGTGTCTGTGCCCCCCCTGTGCCAGCTCGGCACGGGGGCTGCTCCACAGGTGCTGTGGGTGGGAGCGCGCGGGTGAGGGATGGCAGCTGCTGGCCCCCCAGGAACGGGGATTCGGGCCTGCCTTGCTTGTCTAAACGGTGTAAATGCTCCCCAGGAGCCCGTGGCAGGGCTGGGGGCACCCCCCCTGCTCTGGGGGGGCACCTGCAGCCTCGCTCGGCACTGAGACACCCCCCCAGGGCTTCACCCCGGCCACTGCTGGCCCCAAGGATGGGGAAGCTGCAGCTTTTGCAGTCAAGTGGCTTTTTCTCTTTGGCTGGAGCTGGCGAGCGTCGAGCGTCACCTGCCCGTCCGGCGGCGAGAGCCAAGCCTGGCCAGGCAGAACGGCCCGAACAGCCTCTGTCCCGGAGGGTCTTGGGGGAGGGAGGGGGGCCCCGTGTCACTGCTGGCAGCGCAGCTAAAAGGGGGTTATTTTGCAACGACAAGCTCACGCTGAGTCCTTCTGCCTCCTTCGGCGGGCAAGGGAACGCGCTCTCCCCCGCGGGGAGTGGTCCCGGGCTCCCACCGCCGGGCCCCTGGGAATTCCGGAGCTGTGCAGTAATTTGCTGGGGCGACTGGGTCAAAACCAGCCCAGACCCTCTGGAAGAACAAAAAGCAAAAATTGCATTAAGTAAATTAAAACTGTCTACTACCGAGTAGCTCATTGTAGACAAGGGAGAATATGCAAAAAGCTCTGTTTGAAACCTACTAAATATTACCATGTGCTGTTTATAGGAAACAAATGGGGAAAGGCATGCTGCCTCAATAAAACCCTGAACATGGTTGGACTTGGCCTAAAGCCTTTCCACGGCTCTAGGTTATTGAATACCCTTCACTTTCATGTAGTGCCAGGCCTGACCCCTGGACACATACCGCGGAGGGGAAAGTTGACTTGTGGGAATAATCGACATTCCTGGGGAGCGATTTAACCTGGCAGGAAAAGCGGCGACTTTCAGCCTCTCCTATCTCTGTGTGATATTGGAGATGACAAGAGCAGCACGTCGAGGGGGGGGACGTGGGACCGGGGGGCGGGAGTGATGCCGCAGGACCCCGCTGGGCAGCGGGACGGGGGG